CTCTTGGCAGTGGAAAGTGCATGTTCGTTAATCATTTATGGTCTCACCAAAAATAAATGAGTCAAGATGATTCCAGCATGAGCATCATTCTCACGCAAGGACATGTCAACAACATACTTTCTCGAGGAGGTGAAGCAAAGAGATCGGATCCCCCCCAGCCCTTCGGGCCCTCTATTTTCTGACCCTGGGTGAGGTGGAATGGGTCCGCGTGGAAAAGCCTCAGCCGTAACAAAAGGGTGACGTCCTGACACGTGCTACACCACTGACAAAGCTGGGAAGACAGTACGTTAAATAGAATGAGCCAGACACAGAGGACACGTGTTAATACTAAACGGTTCCATTCATAAGAAGGACTCAGAATGGGCAAATTCACAGAGACAGACAGTATTACAGAACAGAGGCTGCCAGGGGCTGGGGGCTAGGGGCAAAGGGAGTCAGTGTTTAGCGGCTCACAGTTTCTGTCTGGGATGATGAGGAACTCTCTAGATGAGGATGGTGGTGACAGTTACACACTGTGGATGTATTTAGTGATACCGTACAGCATGCTTAGAAAACGGCAAACTTTCTGTTAAATATATTTAACAGTGTGTGTGTGTGTGTGTCTGTGTGTGTGTGTGTCTGTGTGTATTTTTTTAACGGTCTTACCCAAATGATTCAAACACCTCCTAACTGGCCTCCCGGCTCCCGGCTTCCCCTCTCCAACCGCCCCCCGCAATGGCCACTAGAGGGCGCCCTAAGCTGCATCTCTGACCTACAGCCCGCGTCTCACCTTTCCTCGGCTCCTCCAAGGTGAAAACACGGGCGCCCCTTATTTTAACCCTGAGGCTGCTTCTCAGCGAGGTCTTGTCCGTGTGCTCATGCCTGAAGGCTCCTGGAAAAGCCCACGTTCTCCCCACACCAGAGGATCAGCTTCGGGCGGGCAGGAACCACATCAGGGTTCACCGCTGCACCGCAAGGACCAAAGAGCCCGTGGCACGCAGCAGGTACTCATCCCGTTTCTGCGGCTCAAGACGTTGAGGGGGTGACGAACTCAACAGACGGCCAGTCAGTGTCATCCTGGGTTTACAGTCTAAGAGCNAGGGCGAGTCCATCGTCAGGACTCACCCAGGCGGAGGGGCCCCTCTGTCCGCTGGGCCAGCGCCCACCTGACCAGCCCCTGCACCTCCGCCTCCCTTCCCTTCCCTGGCACACGCAGGCCCACGACGGGGTGAACTCATCACCAGATGAGCCGGCAAATGCAGACGGACGGGTTTGGGGATTGGAGAGAACATTCCTGAGGTTCCCAGGGGCCCGCCTGCCTGCCCCATCACAGGGAACCCCCAGAGCGGGTGAATCCGTGCCCTCACGGCCACAGGAGGGGCCTCCGGGGTGAAACGAGCCTCAAGGTCACGGTCCGAGACTGAGTCACCATGTTTTATGATCCGCAAGTGCGGATCACATGATCCCCAAGCGCGGGCCAAAGGCTCACCTCACGAGGAAAAGTGGACGCGCCCACCCACCACCACCCCCGGAGGGGGGAAGAAGGAGACTGGGCACAGGACTCAGACCTGCCACCTAGACCCGAGGTCCTAAGGGTGCCCCTGAAAGCAGCAGGGGACCAGGGAGAACAGAACCGTGGCCACAGAGTCAGAACTCCAGTCCCAGCCCAGCCAGGCCACTCTGGGACCCTGGGTGGAACACCGTCCCCTCCCCTGCCGCGTTTCCTCAACAGCCAACAACTCCTAAGATTAGAGACAACTTCCTGTTCTATCAGTAGATATTCAAGAGAATGTAGGGGAATAAAAGCAACTGGCAGCAAAATCATAATTAACAACACATAATTAACAGCAGGTACATCTATCAGGCAGTTCCTTCTCCACCAGGTGCTGTGCTGAGCACTTTATAAGCACCATCCTGTTTCAGCCCCGTCCTCCCACCACACAATGTCAGAGTAGTGGAAGGGTGGGCAGGTGATTAAGAGCCTGGACTCCAGACTCAGACCTTGGCAGAGGTACTTAACTGGTGCTGAGCCTCAGTTTTCCCACCTGCAAAACGGGAATAAACTAGTGTCTATGCCCCACAGTAAGCACCATGGTGGGTATTCTCATTTCTGTGATTCACCACTTTACAGAGGCGGAAAAGAGAGGCTTGGAACGGTGAATTCTCTGAAGCAGCTGGCTGGGACCAGTCTGACTTCATGCTCAGGGTCTGACCAGTCGGGGGTGGGTGGGGCTCTAGAGATCAGCAGGGCATCAGCTCTGGTGTGTCCCAGGCACCCTTTGGACTGTGGCCAACCCTGTGCAGGGCAAATGTCACATTCTCAGCCCAGGGGCTTGGTCGGGTGTCATGTTTCCTTGTGAGCGAATGTCCCGAGCACTGCAGGCTCAAGAGGTGAGAGGCTGGCAGGCTGGCCCAAGCCACAAGCACAGTGCCGAAGCAGAAAGGGTCCGGGACCAAGCCTGGAGGCGAAATAGGCCCAGTGTCCATTCCAGCTTCCCCCACTTTCAGACTGTGTGGCCTGAGGCAAGCGGCTTAACCTCTCTGAGCCTCAGTTTCCTCCTCTGCAAAATAGGATTCATATTTCCTAAGAAGAGATGGGGACTGGGGATTGACAAGGCCTGGGGCACAGGCTCAAAAAAGGGAGATGCACCTGAATCTCAATTGGAAACCAACAGAACAAAGTCATCGATCAAAAGAGTGACAGAAGTAACAGCAGATGGCGTTTATCCACTAGTGAGAGGCTCTCCAAATACCCCACAGGGTGCAAAGCACAGCTCTGACCATCTCTGACCTCCAGAGCGGCCGGGCGGCCATCCGGGCCAAGGCGGGCTCAGGGACCCCAGGCGTCACCTGCAGGGCTGCCCTGGCTGCCCCTCTGGGGGCCTCAACTTCTCTGTTCATGATAAGAGAGTTGGCCCAGGTGAGGAAGAGGGAGAGGAGGGGAGGAGGGGGAGTGAGGAGGAGGGGGAGTGAGGAGGAGGGGGAAGAAGGGCAAGAGAAGTGGAGGAGAAGAAGAAACAGCCATCCCAGCCGCCAAGGCGTGAAGTGGGAGTTTACTCTTCTGAGCGCAGAGCGACTTCACTTCCCACCCACAAAACTACTCTTGAGGCCACTTAGGACCATCTTCATTTTACAGAAGCAAAAACAGGCTCATTGGGGCCCATCAAGTCACCTGCCCAAGGTCACAGAGTGCCAAAGCCAGAACTTGAACCCACTTCTTCCAGCCTCCAGAGCCCCAGAGCCCCAGTGCTGAAGTCCCCCTAGTCAGGACTGTGGAGGCATCAGAAAGCAAGTGCACCACCACCGCCTCCTGGTGGTCACACCCCAGAATTGTAGGCCTCAGTCCCAGAAGCCGGGAACCCAGGTCTGAGGCCTCAGCTCTGTCTGGTTCAGGCTCAGTACCCAGACCTGGACGCCTCCAGGGGAGAGGTGATCAAACAGACCACAGTGGGGCAGAGGCCTCTGGGGCCAGAGGGAAGGAGCCAAGGAAAGCCATCCAAGGATTCCACGGAGAAAGAAGGGCCAGCAAGCAGAAACTTGGACCGGGATGCTGTTCCCTCCATAACCTTTGCCTTCTCTCTCTCTCTCACACACACACACAAACACAATCAGATAAGTTGAGTCAGTGCCTGAGAGGGAATGGAGACAAAGGTGAAAAAGAAATCAGCAGCAGAGATTTGGACACTTGTGAATTTTCTGGGGCTTCTCAGCCAAGGTCTGAGTCCCTTCACAGGCGAGGTCACCCCCAGCCTCATGTCAAGTCTTGGCAAGAACTCTGCCAGGGGCAGCATCTTCACCCCCTTTTACAGAGGAGGAGACAGAGGTTCAGAGAAGTGAAGTTTCTTGCCGGTGGTCACCAAGCTAGAAGGAATGGACCTCGGATGTCAATACTGCTGGATCCCACGTCTCTGAGACATGGACCAGGCACAGATGACCACTAAAATGCACGGAGTCCTGCAACTCAGAATGACCTTGGGTGTGGAACTGGTGTTGCTCATTTAAAAAGACTTATCTCAAATGTCCCCAGGCAGGGCCCAGGGCCTGGGAAGGACTTTAGGAGGAAGTGCAGAGCTCAGCACATCTCCAAGGATCATAGAACAAAAGTGAAAAAAAAAGAAAAAAGCAAATCCCGGAAAATCAGAGGTGGTGAAGCCCTGGAACGCAGCTGGGGACACTGAGGCTTGGGCAGAAGGGGGCTTCCCCGGGGTCCTGCTGCCTCATTTACCCACCTCCTTTCACAAGTGAGGAATCAGGCAGAGAGGGAAGAAGTGCTGGCTACGGAGGGAGCTCAGTGACAGCTAAAAGGATACATGAAAGCAACAACAACAATAATAATAATAATGGTAACATAACACTTATTAAAGTGTTTACTGTGTACCGAGGACCAAGTGAAACACTTCTCGAGTTATCTGAGTCCCACATCAGCCCTGTGAAGTAGATGCTGTTATTATACCCATTTTATAGATGAGGAAACCGAGGTCAGACACCCAGCTCCATGCAGAGCCAGGATGTGAATGAATCCAGGCAATCCAGCTGCAGAACCAGCCCAATGCTGCCGTCCTCCCATCATCACCACACCATTGGTTACTGTCTGAATTACGACGCGCTGGGCTCCACACAATCTCATACCATCCTCCCAACAGCGCAAGAGAGACAGGAATCACAGTCCCATTTTCCCGGTGATCAAACTGAGGTGCAGCGGAATTAATCGAGTTGTTCAAAGCAGCAGAGGTGGTGCCGGGATGCGAACCCAGGGCTCTCAAGACTCCAGGGCCTGTTCTAACCTCACGGTGCCAGATACCAGGGGCTGCCCCTCCACAGGGGGCCAGAAACCCACCAGAGAGGAGGCTTCCCCGGGAGAGCCGCCAAACACCGTCTCCTGTCACGACACGAGCCAGGGCCCAGCCAGGCCGCAGCAGGCTCCTGGACGGTCACCGGCCCACCCTCGCCCCCCTCACACCCTGGGACCAGCCTGGGACGTCCCCAGCAGCGTCCGCTCCGGCCACGCCGGCATCACTCACCACGAAGGGCCCGCTCCTCCTGTCCTTGCAGAAGCTGTGGCTCCTCCGCGGGCCCGCGGCTGCGGGGCTCACCTGCCGGCGTGGAGGCTCATTGTCCGGGAGGGCACGCTCCCTCCCCAGGCCCCTCGGTGACATCTGAGATGCAGGAGACACAAGAAGAAGAAACTTGACTGGGGCTTCCCCTTTGGCAGGAAGAATATGTCACACTGAGAGGGGCCATGCTGCACCTCAAAGGGCAAAGGAGAAAATTAAAGTGCCCGATGCCCACCTCTGCTCACCCCTGCCCCACATCCTTGGTGGGTGGTCCACCTCAAATGATGGGGGTGGGGGCGTCACATATGGGATCAGCAGGTCTGGGTTCAGCCCAGCCTCAGCCACTTCATAACTGTGACACCTTGGGTGAGTGCCTTAACCTCTCTGAACCATGACCATGTGGAGAAAGATCCATAACAACAGCCCTCACCTTCTACGTTCAGGGCTGAACCAAAAGAGGACCAGCGACTGGAAAGGGTGTGAACTCGGAGCTGCCACCAGGGGGCGGACATGCGTGAGACCCGGGAGCCTCCCCGTCCCTGCCATCCCCCGCCCCGCGCGTGAGGGGCCCACCGTGAACGCCAGCCACTGGTTAACTTCTGGCGGCCCCGTGATAGACATCTTTCCATGTACCCGAACGCACGTGCACATGTGCGCAGATACAGCGAGAACCGATACACGAATACGATGGAGTAGGTGCGCTGGTGTGAATCTTGTTATTTTTATATACCCCCCTGTATATATCCTGTATGTATCCCCCTACACCGCCACAAGCCAGTAAACATGGGACTCTGGAGGGTGCATTTTATGGGCCTCACACTGTCCCTGCACCGACAAGAAAAGAAAGGCCCAGAGAGGGGAAAGTGAAACAAAAATGAAGTCGCTCAGTAGTGTCCAACTCTTTGCAACCCCATGGACTGTAGCCTACCAGGCTCCTCCGTCCATGAGATTTTCCAGGCAAGGGTACCGAGTGGGTTGCCATTTCCTTTTCCAGGGGATCTTCCCGACCCAGGGGAGGCATCTGCTTAAGAACACACAGCATGATCAAAGGGCAAGGCTGACTCTTTGCCTCACAGCCTCTTCTGTGACGTCTTACGAGACCCTCTGGTTCTCCTCCGACCTCAAGGGCTGTTTCTTCCCCGCCCCCGTGCATCTCATCTCAGAGGAACATGTCAAGACGTGACCCAGGCCAGCCTCACAGCCCACTCTCCTGCTCCATCAGTGCCTGCTGGACTTCTTGTCATGCCCCATGGCTTCAATAAATCCCATCTGGACTCTGTCTCTCCATGCTGGGACTCTGGACTTGCAGATCCCACTGCCCGCTGACCATCTCTGCTCACTGCCCACGCTGGTCTGAGACTTCATGTGCCCAAAACAGGCCCCCAGATTCCCCCCCCTCCAATCACCAGTCACCAGCTGGGCAGGCCAAGACCCTCGGGTCGTCCTCTATCTCCCCTCTCTCTCCATCCGGTCGACTCTGCCTTCAAAACATGCTGCCAACCCCACATCACAGACCGTCGAAGTCGACTCAAAATAGATCAAAGACCTAAATGTCAGAGCCAAAAAGAGAAAACTCTTAGAAGAAAATACACGCTTGTATCTTCTTGACCTTCGTGGATTAAGCGAGGGTTTCTTAGATAGAACACCAGAAGCTCGAACACCAAAAGCAAAGTAAATTGGACTACATCAAAATGAAAAGCCTTTGGTGCTTCAAAGGGCACTGTTAAGAAAGTGAAAAAAATGAAATAAAGTGAAAAGACAACCCACAGAATGGGAGAACATTCCTGCCAACCATTATGTCTGATAAGGCACCTGTATCCAGAAAGTACAAAGAATAATTACAACTCAATAATAAAATGACAAATGGTCTTAAAAATAGACAAAGGGTGTGAATGGACATTATTCTGAAAAGGTACACAAATGGCCAATACGCACATTACAGGATGCTCCAACAGGAAATGCAAATCAAAACCGCAATGATGATTATGCAATATACACAAATACTGAATCACTACACCGTACATCTGAAACTACTCTAACATTACATGTCAATTATACCTCAATTAAAAAAAAAACCACCCTGAGATACCACTTCATACCCACTAAGATGGCTAGAATCAAAAAGATGGATGATAACAAATGTCAGTTGGGATGGAGAAAAATTAGAACCGTCACACAGTGCTGGTGTGAATGTAAAACGGTGTGGCTGCTTTGGAAAACAGTCTGGCAGCCCCTCAAAGTAAAAAACTGGAGGTATTACCATGTGACCCAGCAATGCCTCTCCCAGGGAGACAGCCAAGGATATGAAAGCACATGTCCACACAAAAACTCGTACATAAACGTTCATAGCAGCCTTCTCCTTGATAGTCAAAGAGTTGGAAACAACCCAGATATGCCTAATGTTGATGAATGGATAGATAAAACGGGATGGATCGATCCTGCAGAATATCATTCAGCCATGAAAAGGAAGTACCGATATACACTACAAAATGGATGGCTCTTGAAAACTCTATGCCAAGTGAAAGAGGTGAGTAATCTATAGACAAGTGAAAGAGGTGAACAAATCTATAGACAGAAGGTAGGTGAATGGCTAATCGGGACTAGAAGGTATTAGGGGAGCAGGCAGTGACTGATCAGTGGGTACAGGGCTTTCTAAGGGGTAATGAAGATATTTAAAACTGAATGTGATGATGGTTGCAGAGCTCTGTGACTAGACTAAAAGCCATTAAATTAACTGTATGCTTCAAATGGGTGAACAGGGACTTCCCTGGTGGTCCACTGGCTAAGACTCCGAGCTCCTAAAGCAGGGCTATAGGTTCGATCCCTGGTCAGGGAACTAGATCCCACATGCCAAAACTAAGATTCAGCACAGTCAAATAAGCAAATAATAAATGTCAAACAAATAAATGAGTTCTTGCATGGGCCATGAAAATTCTATCTCAGTAAAGCAGCTACCTTGGAGAAGGAAATGGCAACCCACTCTTGCCTGGAAAATCCCAAGGACAGAGGAGCCTGGTAGGCTACAGTCCATGGGGTCACAAAGAGTCGGGCACGACTAAGCGACTAAATTTTCACTTTCAAAGCTGCTACCCAGCTTCCTTGGTGGCTCAGTGATTTAAAAAAAAAAAAAATCCGCCTGCCAGCGCAGGAGACCTGGGTTCAATCCCTGGAATGGGAAGATCCCCAGGAGAAGGAAATGGCAACCCACTCCAGTATTCCTGCCTGGGAAATCCCATGGACAGAGGAGCCTGGCGGGGCTACAGTCTGTGGGGTTACAAAGAGTCGGACAGGACTTAGCCAGTAGACAGCAACAACAAAGTTGCTACCATCCCCTCAAAAGGAAGCGGCTAACCCCTCCACGACCACCACCCGGTACAAACCCTGTCTCCTGTCGGAGGACCGTGGCAGCCTCCTCACGGGCCTCCCTGCCTCCACCCTCACCCAGAGAGCAGTCGGGGGTTCTCTCTGAGACACAGACAGTGGAAGCAGCACTCAGAACCCTTCGGAGGCTCCCCTAAGCTCTGGCCCATCCTCACCTCTCCAGCTCAGGTCTGGCCATTGCCCCCGGAGCCCACTGGGGTGCCCCCAGCATCCACAGGACCACTCATCCCCATGCTGGGGTGTCTCCACTTGCTGCTTCCATGTCCTCTGTGTAGATCCTGGCCTGCCTGGGGTCCCGCCATCACTCCCATGGCTTCTGTCGGGTCACCCCCTTAGAAAAAGGGGGCGCCAGGGAGGTTACTCTGTCTCCCCAGGACTTACCACTCTCTGAACAATCCCGCCCCCTCGCTCGGCTCACTCGTCTGGAGCAGCGCTGTCTGCTAGAACGTCCTGTGACCAAGATGACGTTCTCCATCTGGGCTGCCCGGGCAGCAGCCACAGGCCACTTGTGGCTTTGGAGCACTTGCTTGCGTCCAGTGTGACTGAGAAACTGCATCTGGGGTCTTCCTTAGTTTTAACTGACTTACACTGAGAGAACCACGCGTGGCTAGTGGCTGCCGACGGACGGAACCGACTGAATTGGTGGACTGGGCCTTCCCAGCGTCCCTGGTGCCCAGAAGAGCCAGATACGACTGAGGTGACTCAGCACGCACGTACCTGAAACTATTCTTTCTTGAAACGAAAATAAACCATTTGATGAAAGGAAACACTATAACTGTGCCTGGGACAAAGTTTTGATAAATGTTAAGTGAAGAAAAGAAAGAAAGAGGGAGTGAGGGTAAGAGAGGAGGAATCACTTTAATCGCAATCACACCCCATGGGGGGCGTCCGTGAGCAGAACTGGCTGTCAATCAAGAAATCTTCACCCCCGGAAGAAGACATGTACCTCTAGACACTCAGTGGGGTCTTAGAACTCAAATCAACCCAAATGTACATCTGCGAGAGCCTTGATAAAAAAAAAGCTTGGGCTCAGTCACATAACAAACAGCTTTGCAGCCATTAAAAATAATAAGGTGATGATGGACGCACTGTTTCTTACTGCTGAATTTTTGAAAGCACACTATCTTTGGTATATATGAAAAAACACTAACTCGAAAAGATACCTGCACCCCAGTATTTCTAGCAGCACCATTTATAACTGCCAAGCTATGGAAGCAACAACCTAAGTGCCCATCAACAGAATGAATAAAGAAGATGTGCTACATATGTGTGTATACACACACAGACACACACAGGGACTATTGCTCAGCCATTAAAAAGAATGAAATTTTGCCATTTATAGCAGCAAGGATGGACCTGAAGGGTATCAGGCTTAATGAAGTAAGTCTGACAGAGAAAGACACATAACCTATGATATCACTTATATGTGGAATCTGAGAAATTCAACAAACCAGTGAATATAGCCAAAAAGAAGGAGACTCACAGATATAGAGAAAACTATAGTGATTACCAGTGGATGGCAGGAGGGAGCAGGCACCATAAGGGCAGGGGAAGGGGTGGCACAAACTATTGGGTGTAGGACAGACTCAAGGACATAATGGACAACACGGGGAATGTAGCCAATATTTTGTTATAACTGCAAGCCAACAGTAATCTTTAAAAAAATTGTACAAAGCATTTTCTTTTAAAAGTTTAAATGTATGGGGAAAGAAGAAAGCAAGTTGTGAGATTTTCTGTAGAATGCTGCCTTGCTTCCATAGGACAGGGTGCACTGACCGATCTGTGCTTGGACCAGGGTCCCTCAGCCTGGAAACTACGTCGTACACTCGGGGCTGCAGGAGTCTCTGAGCTGGAAGCTGTCCTGTGCATTGTAGGGGGTGGTGGAGCTTCCCTGGTCTCTACCCACCGAGATGCCAGCGGCAAACTCTCCTCTGGTTGTGACAACAAAAAATGCCTGAAACATTGCCAAACATGCCCTAGGAGCCCAGCTGCCCAAATGGCCGAGAACCACCAACAGGGTTGGAGGGGTGGGTCCCAGCATACCAGACTCCGCATTTGGGGGCGCTTTCCATCCCAAACCTGATGTTTCCATGACGTTTAAAATCTTGCCCAAGCATTCACTATCCTTGCAAGAAGAAAAACACAATTATAAAATCAATACATGTATTGATTTATAAGCCACTCTGGAGCATCCGAAAGTCTCCAAGGAGATCAAGAACCCTAACCGTGTCCGCATCTGGGGAAACGGGAAAGGGAAGGGAGGACACGCTTTTACACACATTACACGCTGGTGTGCTTGTATGTGCTCAGTCGTGTCTGACTGCGACCCCATGGGCTGTAGTCCGCCAGGCTCCATCTATGGAATTTCCAGGCAAGAACACCGGAGTGGGTTGCCATTTCCTCCTCCAAGGGATCTTCCTGACCCAGGGGTCAAACCCGGGCCCCCTGCATTGTAGGTGGATTCTCTACCACTGAGCCACCTGGGTTTGAATCTTCAACAGCCAACATTTTGTCCTTCAGTATTGCCCTTATTTATTTTTTAAATGTCAAGAACCCAAGATCCTCGGGCAGGAGAGAAGAGGAACGGGGAGCCGGTCCAAGGCTTCCCAGTCCCCTTGGTGAGAAAACGGATCCCCTGACAACAAGCGCTCCTGGGGCCCCGGCACCCTGGGCGGGCATCCAAGGCTGGGCCGGGGGCCCCTCCGCCAGGCCCCTGAGCCAGGCGCTGGCTCACGGATGAAGTGTCACGTTTCCACGGCCTCTTCCCTCTTGCAGGCTCCCACAGCAGCCTGGAGGGGGCGGGGGAGGTGAGACCCTCAGCGCGTCTGCAGAGCCCAGGGCCTGTGGAGCCCACTGCCCACCCGCCCATGCTGGGTGCTTTATCTCCTCCCCGCCGAGCTGCGGGGCCTCTCTGACTCCTAACTCCGGAGGGGGCGAAACGGAGGCCGGGGGAAGCCGGTGCCTGCTCTGCACACAGCGGAGCCTGTTGAGTGGCAGAGCAGAGATTCCAACGCAAGCCCGAATGTGGTCCCTGGAAGAGACGTGGGTTCAAAGCCACTCTGAACCTCAGGTGACTTCTCCTATCACTCAATTCCCACAACCTCCCTTTTCTAGGTTGGAAGGGGGGTTGACCTGAAGGGGCCCTAAGTCAGTTTCCACACTGGCCACAGAGCAGACTGGTTTTTTCCCTCACCTCTGGACCTTTGCCCACTGTGCTCCTACCAAGGATGCACTCACCTCCCATTTCTCTCCGACCTCTGCACAGAGATCAAAGCTTCCCAGCAGCCGACTCCATGCCTCAGATTTCTTCCCCACCTTCGTGATCCCAAGGGCTGAGGTATGAGGCCAGACCTGCGAGCAAACACTGCCTGTGCCGCTCTGGTGCTGTGTGACGCGGGATAAGTTACTGAACCTCTCTGAGCCTTGTTTTTCTTTTCCCCTTCTGAACAAGATGATCGCACCTGCAGCAGACGCTATGGGCGCCCTGCCCAACACTCTGCCAGACACTCAAATATGCGCCAGTGTTGCGAGAGGATTTTCCTCTCCGCCACTGAGCATGGCACCAGGAATCTGAATGTTAACAGCCCCAGACACAGCCTCAGGCGAGGACAGAGGGAAACGAAGAAACAAATGCTCCCGGTCCCCTGACCCCTGGACAGGACTGCTCAGAGGTGACCTGTGCGGGGGTCTCCAGTAAGAACGAGCCTCAGGTGCCCACACCTTTATCACCTGCCTTCCCTTCCCTGCCTCACTTCTCCCCCCGCCCAGTTCCTCTGGGATCACCTCCTAAAACAACCCGCAGGCGGCTGCTTCTGGAGAAACCCAAACCACAACAATCCCTCTTTCGTGGATTGTCCTGAGGCTCATGTAAGATCATTCACTCAGCAACTACTCTCTGAATGATCACAAAACGTCAGGCATGGTACTGGATGGAGTCTGGGGATACAATGATGGACCTGGTGCAGTATACTGGAAAACAGCAGGCGCTCAATAAAGGATACCTAGACCATCATTCTAGGCCAGGGGTTTCAAACTGATAACCCACAGGCTGTATACAGAGCCGGCAGACAAGTTTTGTTTGAACTAAAAAGCAAATTTTTTTTTAATATGTTGGCCCATTTCATGATCGGGGAGGGGACTACTGGCCAAAATGTGGATCTTTCAAATTCTCTCGATAAATCGGATCTGCCGTCTCAGGACCCCTTTCCCTGCTTGTTGAGAACCAGCTGGGACTGTGCAAAGGTTGCCCCCTTCAGAGACGGCTTGAGCGCCCCATTTGCCACAAGCCCTACCACTCCCTAGCGCCTCACACCCTGCCTGACTCCACTCATCCCCAGGGCCACCAGGCCCGCCCTGGTCCTGAGTTTGAGGCCTCTGGCCTGCATGTTTAACCGGCATACTCACCTTTTGACTGTCTCGATTCCCCGACTCCTGCCGACAGAGCCCCATCTTGGTGTCTCTGGCCTCCGCACTCTCCCTGGGGAGGCTGGGCCTCCCTTTCGGCTGCTCCTGCCTCCTCTCTCTGGCTTCCTGCATGACAGACAGGCCCTCTCGGATTTTGAGAGGGGGGCCTTTCTCCGAACAGGCCCTCTTGACATCCAGCGGCGACCTTCCGAAGTCCCGCGGGTGGTCGGCCCACGGGGCCACCCCGCTCTCCTCGCCCCTGCCCGGGGGTTTCCTCGGGGTCCCTTTCCTCTGGTCAGCGGGGGACGCCCTGGGCTGCACCCTGGCCCCGCCGCTTGGGTCCTCCCAGGCAGGGGTGGGCTTTGACTCGGCCGGGGGATGCTGGCACTTCGCGCTGTGATGTTTACTAACAAATGTCTTTTTCTCATCCTCAGGGATCCCCAGGCCTTTTTTCCTGGGGTCGGTGGCGGGGCCGGAAGAGGCCCCTGGATACTTTTCAGGAGGAGCTGAGTGGGGCGGGCCCCAGAGGGGAGAGCTGACCTTGTGCGTGGCTGCCCCCGGCGTCTCTGCCAGGCACCTGCCTGAGCCGGGAGTGGAACCGGGGTTGGTTTCAACAAAACCAGCCTGTCTCTGGGGAGCCTCAGCTTCAGGGCGCTCCTTTAAGCTCCTCCGTCTCTGATCCGCCTCGCCCTGCGGGCCAGGCCTCTCGGGGTCCGAGCCCCAGAGCTCTGTGGGCGGACCCGCCATCCAGTCCTGAGCCTCCCGTGGGCTTCCGGCCGGCGGCCTCTGATACTCGGCCATCAGCGCATCAATATCGAGGACGCTGGACCTGTAGCCGGCCTTAGCTTTACCTGGGAACGTCTCACTGATGGCTTCCGTCTTCCTTCGGACCAGGAGCTCGCTGGCTTTCAGGGGACTTCTGAAAGCCGGTGGTGTTTGGGGAGAGCCGCCAGGGGACCTCTTGCTCCCGCTATCCTTCCAGCCATTCTGAAAACCGCCGCTGCCTTCCGGGACCCGACGAACCCACACTGCATCGGCATCGGAGATCCTCTCACCAGGGGGACCCAGAATCCTGTCCCCGAGAGACATCGGATGCTCTGTCGGCCTCGGAGGCTTTGGAAAGCTTGCATGCTCATGTTCTCTGCCCGGGGCTCGGTTTATACCGCCCATGGTCTCCAGCGGCTCTTCACGGTTCAGAGAAACCAAGGTAGGGGTGAAAGAGAGAGGGGATGGGGGTGGGGCTGCTTTTCTAGAAGGTTCTGTCCAGTTTTCAGTCCCGGGCCTAGCCACGCTCTTGGCTTTCTGAGTGTCAGGGATCTGATAGGTCACAGCAAAAAAGGTCGCCTTGGGTTCCACAGGCGACCCCTGCTTTGCTGCAGGAAGAACCTGGTCCAGTGACGCACCTGGGCTCCCCTGCCGGGTCCCCTCCTGACCCGGGAGTAGCTGGGGCCTTCCTGAGGCACCCGCAGCCATGGGGCTCAGGTGGTCCCCCCCTCTCAGCCCCGCCCTGGACGCGTGCTCTGGGGGCAGGAGGCTGAACTCGTCGAACTTCACGTCATGGGGAAGGGTCCGCCGCCTCCATCTGTCTGGCCTCTGGTCGCTGGGGCTCGTCCTCCGCCTCCTGGCTTCGGGCTCGTGGCTGCCAGTCCCGGCCAACGACCCCGTCTCCCCCGGCACGTCTGCCTGAGGCCGCACTCGGGAGTCATCAGCTTCATCCTTGGCCCTGGGAAGAGGCTCCGGAGGCGCCCCCCGGGACGAAGCCCTCTCTCCCGTCTGGATTCTGGCCCCTTCGGTCCCCGGGTGCTGGGCATCCAGGACGGTCCTCGCAGAGGCGGCCTCGGGGCTCGGCTCGGCGCCTCTCCCTTCGCTGAGCCCCACGGTGGCTTTATGCCAGCTCACGGCCGCCCCGCCCGTCCATCTGGCTGATGGGCAGCTGCCTCCATGTGTGTCCTTAGGCTCTCGGTGGAACTCGGGCTTCGGCCCACTGATCTCATGAGTCCCCCGGGCTTCCCAGATCAAACTGGCCCTTTGGACGGACCCCACCTGGCCCTCCGGCCTACACCTGGGGTCGGCGGGACTCACGGCATGGGTGACCTCCTCGGACAGCAGGGGCCGAGACCGGCCGCTGCGGAGCGTCAGGGCCTTCTCCTCGGGTGCCGTGGGGACAGCCTCACTGTGCGCGCGCTCCCCGACGGCATGCACGACGTCGTACCTGGGCTCAACCCTCTCGGGCGCGAGGGCGCTCTCCGGGAGCTTGAGGAAGGGGTGATGGCTGCCCTTTTCGCCCCCAGGATGCCTCCCCAGCAGGGAGGACGTGCGATGCTGTCTGGGCTCGCCGCTGGAGAAGGCGGTCCCTCCGCCTCGCCCCAGGTCAGGATCTTCCAGCCACTCCCGCTTCAGGGCTGTGCTTTGCGGGAAAGAGCTTCTGGGTCCAAGGAGCCTGGATCTGGGCTCGGAGACGTCGGCCAGGTCCCTGGGGGTCGTGGCCCAGGGACTGGGTCCCGAGGGGGCAGCCACGGTGTGCTTCTCCACGTGATTCTCGAACACCGTGGCCCATACGGTCTGGAAGCTTCCGTCATCATCCGGGGTGCCCTCGGAAGGGCTCCGGGCCCCCACCGCGCTGTGACCCCGAGCGCCGTCGGGGACGCGGTCAGAACTGCCTTTCCGCTCTGTCAGCCTGGGTTTCTCCGGGGGTGGACCAGGCTTCCAGGGGCTTCTTGTGACGGATGTTCCCTCCACGCCATGCCTGTCCTTTGGCTGGGAAAACAACAAAAAAAAGAAACAATCCAATTTATTTATTTAATTTTAAAGACTGAAGAAACTTTTTTTGATATTTATTTGTAAAGGTTTGCCACAACATTATAACAAATTCAATAAAGTTTTTTTTTGATGTGGACCATTTTTTAAGTCTTTACTGAATCTGTTACTATGCTGCTTCTGTCTTATACTTCAGGTTATTTGGAGTATGGGATCTTAGCCCCCCGGAACCCCAGCCAGGGATCAAACCGGCATCCCCTACACTGGAAGGTGAAGTCTTGCCCATTGGAGTGCCAGGGAAGTACCAAAACAATCCAATCTAAGTCAAAGGATTTGAAGTGGGAAGGAAGAGGTGAGGGGACTGAAAAGGCTGCTTTTAAAATCACAGCAGTGAGAAACCATCCAGTCTCACAGACTGAACACAGCCGGGGAGGGAACACAGGCACTCCCGGCCCCCGTTGGCGAGAAGACAAGTGGGCGTGGCTCCTGAGCAGTTCAGCGCTTCTGCCGGGATGTTAAGACACGCATCTCCTTTCACCTGGCCAGTGTCCTCCCAGAACCCCTGCCTGGCCCACGTGCACAAGTCTACGTGAACAAGAAAGGTCGTACAGAACTGCCAGGGAAACAAAAGAGCCTAGATGCCCATCTGAAGGGCTAAATACATTTTGATACATGCAAACAGCTGACTGCCACACAGGCACTTGGACCCACAGAGAGGGGGTGGCTCCCAATGTCCTAAGATCTAAGGACACTTAAAACGCTGTTGTGTTGATGGAAGAAAAGCAGATGGAGGAACCACGTATTTATAATAAAATACCATTTTAAAGCACTGTAGGTGTGTGTGCATGTATATACATACATGCATGTAGATATGATATCGATCAATCTGACCCCCTCAAAAAAGAGCATTGGTTCCATTTATATAAAAATCTAGAAAATGCAAATGAATCTATAGTGACTGAAAGCAGATTGGTAGTTGCTTTGGAGGAGGAGGGGGCAAGTGGGGGGGAATTACAAAGAAGAAACTTGCAGGTGCCAGAAATGTCCACTGTGTTTATGGTAATGATGGTTCAACAGATGTACACAGAAGTCAGAGTTCACCTGCTTTTACACTTTAAACACGTCCAGTTCACTCTATGTCTGTTATACCTCAATAAAGCTGTTCAAGAAAAAACTGAGCTCACACCAGTGCTCTGTGACAATATATAAGGGTAGGATTGGTTGGGGGGGAGGTGGGAGGGAGCTTTAAGAGGGAGGGGATGGGCAGCACAGTGATGCTCTGGCTACTGACTTCCGTGTGAATGATAAATCATGTGTTTCAGTGTGAAAAAAAAAGAGGGAGGGGACATGTGGATGTACTTAAGGCTAATTCAGACTGACATGTGGCAGAAACCAATACAACACTGTAAAGCAATTGTCCTCCAATTAAAAATAAGTAAATTAAAAAAATAAATAAATAAAATAAAAATAAGTAAATAAATAAAAGAAAAACTTGAAATTTCAGAAAGCATCAATCACAAACCCATGATACCCAGCAGTTATTTTATGAGCTTTTTTTAAAAAAATTAAACAGACTAACTGAAAATACTTTCTAAGCAATTTAATTGCTGGTGATTTTTTCTCCTTCTTCTCCCAGCTGACAAATGAGGGGGTGGGGAAAGGAGCTGGGGCCATAATGGGGGGAAGTTGAGGGGGTTTCTATTAACATTTTTCCATTTTTATTTATTTATTTTTGGCTGTGCTGGGTCTTCATGGCTATGTGGGTTCTTCTCTAGTTTTGGCACCCGGGGGCTGCTCTCTAGCTGCGGCGCACAGGCTTCTCCCTGGGGCAGCGTCTCGTCTCCAAGGATGGGCTTTAGGGCACAGACTCAATACTCATGGTGCATGGTCTCAGTTGCTCCAAGGTATGTGGGATTTTCCCGGATTACAGATCGAATCTGTGTCTCCTGCATTGGCAGGCGGATTCTTTACCACTGAACCACCAGTGAAACCCTCTATTTGCATTTAAAAAAAAATTTTTTTTTTAATTTGGCTGTGCCAGGTCTTAGTTGTGACCCACGGGATCTTTAGCTGCAGCATGTGGGATCTAATTCCCTGACCAGGGATCAAACTCGGGCCCCCTGCATTGGGAGCTGGGAGTCTTAGCCGTTGGACCACCAGGGACGTCCCAACATTTTAAAATCTTCATTAATTTCTCAAAAAAAGCAGACATTCTTACACAGGAAAGCCATGTCCTCCTCCTGTTTGCACAGACAAAAATTCACGCCTGATGGTTATACTTGCAAACAGTATTCAACACCAAGGAACAGTGAATCATGGGGCATCACTCATGGCTCAGATGGTAAAGAATTCGCCTTCAATGCAGCAGACTCAAGTTCGATCCCGGGTCAAGAAGATCCCCTGGAGAAGGAAATGGCAACCCACTCCAGTACTCTTGCCTGGATGATCCCATGGACAGAGGAGCCTGGTGAGGCTACAGTCTACGGGGTCACGAAGAGTTGGACACGACTGAGCAACTAACACACACACACACACACACACACACACACACACGACAGAGTATCACAGTCTATTACACTGGAAGGGACTATGAAAGTCCCAACATGAAAGGAAAAAAAAATGTCTTATAGTCCACGAGAGGTCTCTGAGTCTTTCCTGGATCTTCAAGATTGTAAAAGCCCTTTTTCCAATAAGTATAACTACCCCCAAAAAAGGACAGTGCCAAGCGGCTTCTTACCTTTTCTCTTGGTTCTCTGGGAAGCTCACCGCTCAGCTCCAAACACTTCTCATATCTGACTTCGTTGCTTGAAGCTGCACTTGAAAACCTGGCACAAGAGACCCGAGTTACTTGTGTGCAGCCAGAAGCTGGGACTCCCTCCAGCCCACACCCCATAACTAGTTCAGGAACCCAGGGGTGAACGCAGCACTGAGATCATCAGAGCAACCCTGCCCCATTTCCTCCAAGATAGGACGTGTCCTTTCCAGTAGCCAAACCTCTCGGGCCGGGAGGGAGAGAGCCTACCTTAAGCACAGCATCGCTGCGGGAGGCGGCGGCCCCCTGGGTGTTCGTGCCAGTTCTCCTTCCTGCCTCCCCACTGAGGGAGCTGGGCTCAGGCTCGTGACCTCACCTGAGCCTCTGTCTCTTCATCTATAAAACGGGGATAATTAACGCCTCCCTATCGTCTTTGTAGGTCAGATAAGAGGCTACCCAAGGCCTTAATAGCTACATGAGGGTGCTGAGAGAGGAGCGAAGATGCCCCAGGAGCGATAATTAATGGCTGCAACCCCACAACAGCCAGCAGCCCCACCGCAGACCGACCGCGGGACTCCGGGGCAGTGGGCGGTCGGGGAATGCATCGGGGAACAGGCTTGCCTCTGCCTCTGCCTCTCTGGGTGACCTTGGCCCAGTCTTGATCACTCTCTGGGCCTGTCTGCCAGCTGTGAAGGCGAAGCGAGAGAAAGGGGAGTTGGAGCTGGAATTTTCCCCATCTCTGCAGAGTTCTCTGGAGCAGAGGCTGAAAGATTAGTTCAGGGTCAGGGGCCTGCAGCAAAGAGGGAGGTGAGACAAACCAAACGTCTTGAACTTGACCCATGGGCAGCAGTCCAAGGGTTGGCTCTGGGGACATGTGAGGCTGTGCAGGAGTTGTCTCTAAACCCAGAGCCTCAGTTTCCCTACCTGTCAGATGGGGATAACCTGAGGAACTGGGGGGCGGGGGACTCAGGGAGGGGAGGTGTATGAGGCCCTGACGAGGGTGCCCCTTCCTCTGTTTTCTGACTTTGTTATTCTGCCCCGCCATGTAGCTTGCAAGATTTTAGCTCCCTGCCTAGGGATTGAACCTGGCAAAAGTGCTGAGTCCTAAATGCTGAATGGCCAGGGAGCATCCCTCTTTCTCTGTTTCCTGAATTCAGGGGTTCTCAAGCCTGGCTGCACATGAAAATTACTTTGGAGACTTTGAAAAACCAAGATGAGAAGCCCTCCCCAGATCAGCTGAATCAGAGTCTCTGGGGTGGGGGCCAGGCATCGATAATCTTTTTTCCAGGTCATTCTAAGTGCTGACAGCCAGTGGTGTCAGCTCTGGCCGAGCTAGTCGCCCTGGTTCCCAGGGCCGGGAGGGCACTCTGCCCAAAGCTCCCGCCCCCTGGAAGCTCAATCGCTGACAAACTATGTCGGTGGCATGCGTGCCATTAATGAGCTGGCGGACACACCCCGGTGGCGTCTCCCTGTCTTAGCTGAGAAGCCACTTGGGGAAAAACAAAGGAGGAAGAGATGTCAGGGGCCAGGCCTTGCTTAGAAAATATCATTAACCAACAGGGATCCATCAAATCATTTGGGACTATTAATAATCACAACGTGTCCAGGGCTCCCTTGGGCTGAGTGATCTCCAGAGCTGAGTCCTGGCCTTAATCCTTTAATGCAGGTCTTAACATGATTTCCCTTTACAAGATGAAGAAACTGAGGCTCAAGGCGGGGAAAGTGACCCGCTCAAGTTATTGTGACCCATCTGATTTTGTTTGGGTTGGGGGCGCGGGGGAGCATTCACGGAGGTTTAGGCCATAAATGAAGTATCCTCGGACTTTACGAAAGGAAAGCTTAGTTATGGAGACAGGCTGAGCTGGAATTGCACGGGGCTCCTGACTTCCTCATGGTCCTCAACTTTCCTGTCTGCATCTGTGAAATAGGCTTGATATGACCTCCGAAAAGTGCAAAGAGGGGGAAGGGAGGAAGAAATGGGGCCCCTGGCCCTGCCGCTGGCACACACAGTGAAGCGGTGCTATCCTCCACACCTCAGCCTCCTGATCTGAGAAGTGGGAGCTAATGCCACTTCCTCTCAGGGCTGCAGGTACCAAGAGTGCCCAGTACAGAGCCTGGGGCCCTGCGGTATCCTTCTACTCATGAGGAGGTCTCTGGTGAAGGGCGGGGGCTCTCGGAGGCTGGGGGAAACCCGTGGGGTGTTCCCACTTACAGTTTGGTCAAGTCCGCTGACAGTGGCCGTGTCTGGACCGCCCTCCTCCTGAGCTCCGGCTTTGCTTCCGAGCTCTCGGTGGCCCAGCCTTTGATCCGCTCCTGGACGCTCACGCCCGCTTTCTCTGGCTCCGGCGGGATGGCTGGGGACTCGGGGGTGGCTGGTGGGGACTCAGACCCCGCTGCCAAGGCCGAGGCGCCCTCCTCCCCAAACAGGCCAATGCGATTCTTCACGCCGCCCCTGGGGGTCTGCTCTCCCCCGACCCGGGTCTCTCCATCAGCCTCTCTGCTCTTGACTTCAGCCATGTCTTGGCCTTTTCCAGGCCTGGGCAGAGGGGACTGGGGGTCCTTGGCTGCCTTCTCTGGCTCCCCATCCAGCTTGGCTTTCTCCTTGCTGAGACCCTGGGCACCGGTGGGGGTGACCCTGGCCGGGCCCCCCGCGGTTCTGAGGCTGCCCATCTCCCCCGGCTTGGACAGCAGCCTCTCCTTCCGTTCCTGGATCTTCTGGGTCACCTGCAGGAAATCGGAATCCGGGTCGTGTGGAGGTGCCTCTGCTTTGACCAGACATTCCCTGTCCACCCTGGGTTCTGGGTCCAGCCTCTCGGGTCCCCGCCGCTGGAAGGCGGGCCCTGACGTGGCCTCGTCGGTCACCTTCCTGGCCAAGGCCTCTCTGCTCTCGAACCGGGCCGTGAGGTCCACGGACAGAGGCCTGGGCCTCCTCACCCACGTCTTCTCAGGAGGGGTGGGGGGCAGCTTCCCTGCCACGGCCGCCCCGCCGGAGCCTGGCTTCGGAGTCTGAATGGACTCGGCGAAGATAGCCGATACGGGCCTTCTCTTCGGGCGAGGCCTGGGCGGCTCCGGGGCGGCGCCTCCCGTGTCCTCCACGCTGCTGGCCTTTGACAGAGGCTCCTTCGGGCCAGTCTCCTCTGGGGTGGCCACCGGCCTGGAATCCTGAGGCAGGGAGGCTGGCCGGGGGAGGCTCCCCACGGGCTTCCGGGCTGGCAGGGCAGGCTTGGCGGCCACCTCAGGCCGGGGGGCAGAAGCGGGTCCCTGGGACACACCTGTGCCAGCCTCGCGAGCCCCCGGGCCGGCCCCCTGCCCCAGAGCGGGGCCGGCTTTGGTGCTTTCGAAGAAGACCGTGGGGTTTGGTGTGGGCCGCGGGATGGCGGCCCTGGGGAACAGAGACATGCTCCTCGGGCGGTCGCCGCTCCCCACCGCCTGCCCTGCCAGGCCCGGCATCTTCTCGTCCAGATGCCCTGAGGCCACGTCCTGGGAGAGCCCCTCGGCAGGAGACGGCCTGGCTGGGCTGGGCCACAAGGGTGTCACGTCCGCGGCCTTCTCCTTGGAGAAGGGTTTGGGGGCGAGTCTTGGCAGAGGAAGCAGGCGGACCGGGCTCCTGAGGGGGCTTTTTCCTTCCAAGAGCAGCGCCGAGGGGGGCCCGGGGGCATCTCCAGCCTGGCGGAAGTAGGTCCGCGTCAGGGCCTCCTCCTTGGAGAGCTCGCCCAGGCCCGGCACCCCCGTCAGGGAACTTATGGAGCCGACCTCCACCCGCGTCGCCATGGTTACGGTTGTGGATCCATGGGGAAGAAGCGCGTCAGAAATGGAGAGGCAACCACTAAAAAAAAAAATTTTTTTAAGTAAATTTAAGATTCAGTCAGTGTCTGGGTTGAAGCAGAGAGATTTGGGCGGGTGGGGGGGGAGATGAAGATGGATGAGGATCAAGAGACCGGAGCCCCAGGTCTGGACTACAGCTCTCCACTGACCACCGGGCAAGCCTGGGCCAGTGGCCTCCACTCTCAGCTCTGGGCAAGGGCAGCGGACTAAAAGGCCTGACTCTGAAGCTCGTTCCAGCTCAAAGGGTGCCCAAACGGTGCCAACGTTCACTTGGACTTTCTCAACTCGTTTAATCTCAAGGCCAGCTTTCAGGGTAACGAACGATGCTCTCGGCTGTACAGACATGGAAACCATCGGAGAGAGGCCGAGTAACTGACCTGAAATCACTCAGAGGACAAAAGAGGCAAAGTTGGGATTCGAACCCGGGTCGGACTCCAGACGCACACCGCAGGCTCCCAGTGTGAGATTCCTGTCCCCGCCCCCCGCAGTATTTTCCCATTTCAGAGCCTGCCCAGGTCGGGCTGATCCTCACCCTCTTCAGGACCAAGCAGAGAGGGCCAGTGACCAGCGCCAGCTCACACAGACACCCAAAGCCGGTGTTCCCAAGGTCAGAGAGTTGGCAAGCGGCCACGGAACTCCAGCTCCCCAGACCATCCCATCTCTCTCCCTTTCCCAGTCTTTCCAGGAGCCTTAAAAAAAAAAAAGAAAAAAGCCATCCTCATTTTCCACTCCACCTGCTGTCATTATTTATTTATTTTTTGCCTTTGGGCTCTTTTCAGCTGAACACCTATTTTAAGCTGACTGCCTTCAGAGTCTCAGGAAGAAGAGCATCATCAGCTAAGGATGAGAGTTACCACGAGCCAGGCCTCAGGGAAGCCAAGGGCTCCCTCTGTCTCACGAATCACACCCTCCTCCCTACGACGCTGCCAGACGGGCGTGTGATCATCGGTCCCTGTTCCGCAACAGCTCAGGCACGAGCCCCTTGCTCCTCCAACCGTGAGCTCTGCTCTCTCAGGACAGGAGACCTCTCTCGTCCATCCTCCAATGACCCTGAGAGGCAGGGCTTGTCCTTATCTCCCTTTGTAAGGATGGGGCCCAGAGAGGTTGCCCAACTTGCCAACATCACACAGCTGAAACCGATCTCAAGTCCTGGATCCATTCAACTCTCCCCTTTGAACAGTAACGTCCTGCTCCTTCCCGGTTTTAAAAACTGCCAGACGATTTGCTGTTCTCGATGCGTCCCCTACCCTAAAAACCCCACCTTCACGCCAGTGCTCTGTTTCCCTACAAAACTGCCCCCAGCCTGCCCCCTCGTCTAGATGGGCTAAAAGTAGAAGGTGTTTTACTTCAACGCAAGCCTCCCGCTTCCCTTCCGGGGGCCCCACACTGCTGCCCCCGGCTCTGACTCACACTGCAGCCTGCAGGAAAGAAAGGCGGACAGATTTTGATCTCTTCTCTTCCCTACACGCTCGATGGTGCTAAACTGATTCCTTCTTCCCAATGCAGAGAACACCGTCTAGTCGGGGTCAGAGGCAGAAGAGAAGAACAGAAGCAGAGAGCCAGAAAATCGAGACTTGGGAGGAATCTGTCAGCAGTGACCCAGGGCGGAGTGCGTAGGCATGCAAAGTCCTGCCCCAAACCGGGACTGCTCATCGTTACAGCCAGCTCCCGTGACCTCCGGGATACGGGTGTGAGACATGGGGCAAGGACAGGATATTCAGGGAACAGAGAGAAAATCCCTTGGCAGAACCCACAGCAGCCCCACTTACCCGAGCTGGCAGGTCCTGGCTGCGGACGTGTGACTGCCCGAGAAAGCAAGCAGAATCGCGTCTCATCGCGGACGAACGGGGCTGTCTGCACACTCCCCTGGCAGAAGCCGGCAAGGGGTGGGGTGGGGGTTGGGCAACAGGGGTAGGCTGGTCCCCGCAGGCTGAGTTTCGGGCAGTTCTGGGGAGACACAGAGCGGCAGGCTCGGTTCTGGGGTTCTGGCAAAGATATGGGCACAGACAGTACGAAAGCTTTCGAGCTCCAACCGCATCCCACTGGCATCTCTGCCAGCTTGTAAAACTCAACGCTCCCGTCAGCTTTTCAGTATTGTCGCCTTGTGGCTACACGTGGGCATCAAGGGTGCGGAGTCCGCAGTCGGCGCTCAATAAAAACCGCCCCTGTTCCTCTGAAATGTGTTTTATTGAGCACCTACTGTGTGCAGAAGGATGACTAAGAAATATCTCCTTTGTTCAGGGAATTAAGAGTCTTGTGTGAGAAACACACACAAGCAACTATGCTGGGCAATAAATATGGCTTATAAAGAGGGACTTGGGGGGTGCTTCCCTGGTGGTCCAGCAGTTAAGATCCCAGGCTCCCAAAGAAGGGAACACAGGTTTGATCCCTGGACAGGGAACTAAGATCCCGCGTGCTGCAAAGTGTGGCCAAAAATAAATAAATAAACCCAAAAGTTAAATAAATAAAGGGGGCTTCCCAGGAGGCTCAATGGTAAAAAATCCACCAGCCAATACAGGAGGTGCAAGATACATGGGAGCAATACTCGGATGGGGAAGCTCCCCTGGAGGAGGAAGTGGCAACCCACTCCAGTATTCTTGCCGGGAGAATCCCAAGAACAGTGGAGCCTGGCGGGCTGTGGTCCATGGGGTCACAAAGAGTCAGACACGCCTGAGAGACTGAGCGACTAAGCACGCATGCAAATCAAGGGGGGCATGGGAGCACAGAAAAAGGAAGGTTAACTGCCTAGAGCTGGGAGTGCTGGTCCCAGGAGACTCCCCTGGCCTAGAGGAGGTAACTCACGAACACCAGGGAGCCGGCGAACTTGGGAGCTGGTGCCCCCGGTTGTCCGGCTCGGCAGCACTTGGGAGGTCCTCACGCGCCTCCTCGGGGCCTTTGCACATGCTATGTCTGCTCTCTGAGATGCTTCTGTCACTACACATAGGCACTGGCCCAGCCCTGAGGTCACAGTTTAGACACCGCTGCCCGCCTCCAATCCAGTACTCTTACATGCCCAGAGACGCACACACACACAGCAGGACTCATCTAAATACATAGTTGTATTTCGTAGTGCAGGATCCCTCGCTTCATATCAACGGAGGTCCCCAGAGGGCACCCCAGCAGCTAGCACAGTGGCCTGGCAGATAAGAGCACTGAACGCATCATTATTGAGTGAATAAATAAATGAAGAACTATCTTCCTGGCCCTGCTGTCCGGGTGCTGCTAAGATTCTGAGTAAGGGCAGGAGTCCTGAGTTTCATGACACTGAGCAGTCTAGGATACAAGGTGAGCAAGTTCCTCTGGCAAGCTCTGGCGTGGCCATGGGTCAAGCGCTACTGAGTGACAGAACCAAAGAGCTGTGAAGAGCTCCGCTGGGCAGCCGGGCCCGCCGCCCCCAACAACAGGTCCCACTGCCGGGGACAGGCCACCGTCAGACACCTGCTGTGATGGCATCAACCCCACACTGTCACACGGGCTCATCTGCCCAAAGGTGGAACGGACGGATGCTTCTCTGTACGGCTTTTCCTGGGAAGGACCACCAAAAGCATCGTTGCTGAAGCAGGGTCCATGGCTTACAAATGTCGCCTGCAACTTTGGGATCCCTGAACGCATTTCAGGGGCCAGATTGCAGCAAGGGAAACCGGGGAAAACAAGATAAAAGATTCTTGGTCCACTTCCTCCTTGACCAGAAGGGTGTCTCTGTTATCCGTAATTTCCTTTCTATCTTGGGCTCCCTCTCAAGTTTCCATTTAAAATGCCAGGCAGATGCCTGATCTATAAATATGGTTGCGGGAACGCATCAATGAATGAATCAATCAGTGAACACAGTGGGGGTGGGGTGGGGAAAGAGCTTTTAAACCACCGTAGTGGATGGCTAAATAATATTTTGAAGTCTTTCCCAAACCTAGAAACCCATGAATCTCAGGTTTTCCTTTAACCTGTTGTAAAATACAAGGAAACCAACTGAAATGTATGCTTTAAAATCTTACTTTAAATGCATCACATATGTTATGCTTAATTTAAGAGATGTTAGTCTCTTCCAAAACATTTCAGAAGCCCACTCACACAGAAGACAGATGCTGGTGTTTTTTTTTTTTTTTCTTTCCTGGGGTGGCCTGGCTCGCTCTTTTTAAATATATTCGCACGGTGGCCAGAGTAAGGGAAACATGAGCTCGCTGGAGAAAGCAGCAACGCCAGGTATGAGCTGTGTCTGGTTTTATCTACGAATCAACATGGAGGTCGGCTCGGAGGGTGACAGACGGGCAGCTCTGGGAGGTCAGGAGGCCAGAGTGGATCAGGACATGGAGGATTTGTGGGCAGCAGCAGCGGGGGTAGCGGCGGGTGGACCTCTGTTGTCCCTGAACCTGGCAAGTCCACAGGCTCGAGCTCCCTGAATTGACCTGCAAGGTTTGAGATTCCCATTTCCTGCAGTTTTACGCAGGGAAAAACCATGTTCCCGGGAGTTGAGTCACCAACACCAATAGTGGCTGAAATTAGACAGGCGCCCGATCAAGAGCATTCATCCCTCCATCCTTCTGACCTTCCTTCTAGAAGTCGGGCTCTGCGCCGGATGCCGGGGGCACGGCCGTGGAGTGCACAGGCTCCAGGGGATCCGAGAGAAGCTTGAAGGGATGGAGCAGGAAGAGCCCTTCCATTCAGAACCTGACTGTTTGGCAGCTTCTCTCTCAGATTTGGAGGCGTTGATTCATTCTAACAGCTGTTGTCGATCTCTCATAATTACACCCCTAAATCTGATCCGAGAGCTCACAGTCATTCACTCAGCCGGCTCTGGGTGCAGTTTTCCTGGGAATGCCACCATCTGCTGAGGGCTGGGAGCCAGTCCTGACATCTCCCAGCATCTTCCGGAATGTAACCTGGCCTCCCAAATCTGCAAATCCATCCCGCGTGGCACCCCGTGCAAGGTGCCAAGTACACGTCCAGTTGCCCCCAGGAGAGCAGGACTATGATAAACGCACATACTTGGCCCACCCACAGACCCCAGCAGGAGAGCGACCAACATCTAATGTCAGTGGCGTGTGTGCATACCCTCCTTTCCCTCGCCATGGCTGTGGCCCTAGTTCATTCATTCATTCATTCCAACACACAATTACTGAGCACCTACTCAACTGGCGCTAGTGGTATAAAGAACTCGCCTGCCAACACAGGAGATGTAAAAGACACGAGTTTAACCCCTGGGTTGGGAAAGAACCCTGGAGAAGGAAATGGCAATCCACTCCATTATTCTTGCCTAGAGAATCCCATGGACAGAAGAGCCTGGCAGTTTACAGTCCACAGGGTCGCAAAGAGTCAAAAACGGCTGAAGCGACTTAGCATGCACACACACCATGAGTCAGGCTCTGTGGATACAACAGTGAACAAAACATATAGAAAGCCCTGTTCCCATGGAGCTGACAGTGATAAAGGTGGGGACAGACCATAAATGACATAAACAAGCAAGACACATCGACAATCAGATAAGTGACTTTTCTCTGCTGGTGCCTCCTCCAATCTGTTCTGGCAGCAGCCAGAGGGATTCTCCAGTACACAGGGGTCATCATGCCACTCCCCTGCTCAAAGCCCACCTGGGTGGGTCTCCCCACTGCCCTCTGAAGGAAGATCAAACTCCCCTGGGGCCCACGGCAGGGTCTGGATCCTCTCCAGCTTCAGTCTCATGACGGACGGCTCCTCCTCTCTCTGTCTGTCCCTCACACTCACTCATATACTTCAGGACATGAACCCCGGGCGGGTCACGAGACACGCTATGCTTTTCCTCGCCTTCACGCCTTCACTGCCATTTCCTGCATGGCTAACTTCAGCACCAGCCACCTCCTCCGGGAAGCCTTCCCTGACGCCCCAGGGCAGGTCCAGGTACCGCCTCCCGGCTCTGCTATTCAACTCTCCTAGCTCCTCCCTAGCCCAGCGCTGATCCAGCATGTGGTAACTGCCTCCAGATTGGGAGCTCCTGGCCAGGAGGGTCCTGAGTCCAGTTCACAGCTGTTTTCCCCAGAGTCTGGCACCGTACCAGACATGAGGTCAGGGTGCAAAAAATCCCTTCAGGGAGAGCATGCCTGAGAGAAGAAAATAATAGCATCCAGGGCAGGTGTGGGTGTGGGAAGCTGACACGCTCACCTGCTCCTGGGGACAATGCAAGTGACAGAAGCAGTGTGACAATATTCACTTCCCGCTATTATTTTTGGAGATCCCATCAAGAGTCAAGGACTAAGTGACTCTGCACCTCCTGCCTTCTCCCGTGTATTACCACCATTCCACAGATGCGGAAAATGAGTCAGATCTCAAGCTAGTGAGGGGGAATGTTACGGCTGAAATCTTCTGACTATGAATCAAGTGTTTCCTCCACATGTACCTCACCCCCCAAACATTCATTTATTTTTAACTTGCTAGTCCCGAGTCTAAAAGTGTGCTGTGGAACGGCTCTCTCGCTCGTGCTTAGTGTCCAACTCTCTGAGACCCCCTGAACTGTAGCCCACCAGGCTTCTGGGTCCAGGGGATTTCCCAGGCAAGAATACTGGAGTGATTTGCCATTTCCTCCCCCAGGGGATCTTTCCAATCCAGAGATCGAACCTGCATCTTCTGTGGCTCCTGCACTGTGGGCGGATTCTTTACCACTGAGCCACAGAGGAAGCACTCTCCGGAAGGAATCTAAAGAAAGACAAAACCACATACACAGAGATGCCCTCTGCGGTGTTATCCATCCCACTGCAATATGCAATAATGACACATCCCAGATTTACGCTGATAGACCTTATTTGAAAACACTCAGGACTCAAAAGCCATTTGAAATTTCAGAGTTGCAAAGTCAGCAGGTAGACCAGCTCACCGGTTTCCAGCCTGCCCACAAGTGGAATAAAAGTCCCTTCATACTACATGGCCTGAGTTTGTGATCAGAAAAGATGGTTGCCATGGCAGTCATGGCAAAAACTCAGAAA